ATTATGAATGTAACTGTACTGTATACCTAAAATGTACCAATAAACTTCATGAGGAAAAAAAGATAATCAAAGTAGCCATGAAAAAGCTCTGATTTGTAAACTGTTTAAGATCTTCATCAAAAAGGTGACAACTGTAATACCAGAACTCTGGAGGCTGAGGCAGAAGGATTACTGTTGAGTTCAAGGTTAGCCTGGGCTACAAAGTGAGACACTGTCTCAAAAAACCAAACCAAAACAAAACAAAAAGGTGAACAGAAGTGATAAATATCCTTGCTGTATCAGTCAGTACTCACTAGAGAAACAGATTTAATACAAGATATACAAATACATAAGAATTTACAAGATTGGCTTTCAGTGGCCATCCACAGTGTCATTATGAAGCTTAACTTATTAATTTGTGTTCTATGGGAGTGCTTTTTCTGTTTCCAAAGGAATCTTTATTTACTGTATGTGTATAAAGATAGACTTTTATGTATCCTTCATGCTTTGTGGCTTTAACTTTTAGGTTCGTGTCTATGACCTTTCTCAAAGTATTTTTTGTGTACAGTGTGTGATAGTTTTGATAGTGTGAATGTCCCCGCCTGGAATCGTTTTGGTATAGTATGCAATGGAGCCAGATGAAACCATTAAGAAATGATTAGCTCAGGAGGGCAGAATCTTTATTAGTGGATGAATGGATCTGTGGGTTACTAGGTTATCTTGAGAGTGGGTCTGTTATAAACACCAGTTTGGCCCTGTGTCTTGGATGGGCTTTTGCATTGAGCAACGTTTCCAGCCTCTTTTAAATTTTGAAACAAGGTCTCACTACATTGCTTTGTTGCTCAAACTGGGCTGGAACTTTGGGTTCCTGCTGCCTCAGTCTACCATGCTGGAATGATGGCTGTATACCACCAAGCAACCATTTTTTTTTCAGCTTAAAGTGAGAATATAAAAGTAGCTATTTCATAGAGTGATTCATGAAAAGCATGCCATTGTATATGATTATTACTGGTCAGTGCTCTTAAAAGTTGTGGGAAGGAGGATGTTACAGATTGAATTATGTCCACAAAAGAAGGTACTGTATGTTGGAGTCCTAATCCCCAGTACTTCAGATGTGTGCTTATTTGGAATTGGAATCTTTACAGAGCTGATCAGGTTAAGATGAGGTGATTAGGATGGTCCTACTCCTCCATGACTGATGTCCTTATAAAAAGGGGGGATTTGTACATGCACACACACACACACACGCGCACGCGCACACACATGGACACACACATGCATGCACATACACATACGGAGAACATTATGGAGACAGTGATTTATAAACCAAGAGATGCCAAAGCCTGCCAGCAGCCACCAGAAGCTAGGAAACAGCAATGGAATAATTATCTCTTGTAGTCCTCAGAAAGAACAGCTCCTTGGTAACCTCCATCTCAAGCTGTTAGACATGTCTGCACTCCCGTTTGGTGTTGCTTCTTAAGAGTGCCACGACAAAGTCACAGAGAGGGGCTTTGGGAACAAACTGTCACTCCCTTCTCTGGAGAATACACGCCAGCTGGGGATGCCAAGTGTCCGGATGGCGCACTCTTTGTTCTCAGCTCTTCTGCATACTGTAACCTTTCGGCAGATTTCCTCATGGTGATACCAGGTCCAGGGCTCTAAGGGGTATTTGGTGACAGGGCATCCCATTAGTCCCTACAATAAAGCTTAGTGGGCTTGAGCAGGTCAACTGTCCTGCATCAGATTGCTTATCTCCCGGATAAACCAGCCAGGCTCAGCTACCTGCATCTAGCCCCAGCTGTGAAGGTGGTGGATCCTGAGCACCATAAAGGTCGGCCTGATCTTGCCTATCTGTTCATGTGTCCTGCTATAAAAATATCCTCTGCTTCGTGTGGTGAAGCACACACCCATAATCCCAGCTACTTGGGATACTGAGGTCGGAAGAACACAAGTTTGAGGCCAGTCTGAGGAGTTAAGTGAGACCCTATCTCAAAATAAAAGTAAGTAAATAAACAAAAAGGTCTGTGAGGCGTAGCACAGTGGGAGTCCACTTTGCCTAATATGTGTGAGGTCCTGGGTTCAGTCTCAAGACAGCAAAAAGGAGGGAGGGAAGGAGGAATGCTAAAGTCTAATCTTGAGTTCAGGATAATGACCAGGTTAAAACAAAATAATATAGCCTCTCTTTTTTTTTTTGAGACAGGGTCTTACTATGTAGTTCAGGCTGGGCATGAACTCAAAGTGATCCTCCTACCTTAGACCTAAAGTCCTGGGAGTATAGGCTGGGAGTATACTATGCCTGGCTGAACTACTATTTTTTTTCTACTCTTCCTAAATGCTTGTGCCAGAGATTGAAGCAGCATTTGGAGAGCAGGCCATTTGCTCTTTTAAATGTTATAATAAAAAATATTCAAAAGTAAGATAAGCTTTGTTATTTATATATATGAGGCTGAAGACAAAACTGTTTGGCTCAGGCAAGCCAAAAGGCCAGGTTAATCACTTTCTCACCTGAAGAGAGAAGCTAATTTGAGTTAGGAAAACAATCTAAAGAAAATCAAGCATGTGTATAAAAATGTACCATCTGCAGGTCTTCCTCACTCTCAGTCAGTCCCTCTGGATTTCCTTGTCTCAATCCTGCTCATATTTTTTCCTCATAATGAAGCATTTTCCCCCCAAATAAGTCAGCTTCTGATCCCCCCTGTGAGAGCCACATGCCTAGTCTTCTGGAGGCCTGGAAGGAACGAACACCATCTGTGGTTCATGCCAGAGGGCACAACATGTTGCCTACTGCTGCCAACTCTTGTCCTATAGTCACGCTGAGTAATAGACTGTGGCCAGAAATCTTGTCAGAAGCATCTGACCAGGAAGGATTTCATACATGTCCGTGTCCTCCTAGTTCTACATGAAGGATGCTCAGAAATTGAAGCCCATGTGGTCTATGTTCTAAGAGGCACACACAAGGCACTTATTAACAAAAGTGGTTCTTTTATTCACAGATCTGTGAGCACATACTGTTTTTTCCATAAATGATTCTTCCCCCTTGGGGACTGGTTATCACAGTACCTGATAGCCTTCTGTTCTGTTTTATTGCTTGCATCGAGTAAGAGCAGGCAGGACACAAATCGTGATGTGTGACCCTGGATTTCCTTTTGCAATAAGGAGCATACACAGTGCCATACCAAACTGAGTTTATTGACATTTCCTTGAAGGTGGTAGGATGGAAGAGAAAGCGCGGCCTGAGTATCATGTGACATTTCTCTTGTAGATGTAAGCAAAATCAGCCCAGTAATGTGGACTTCTCCTGCTATGACTAGAACAAAAACTTTTTAACAAAATTGTTATAGACATTTCCTTAGAGAAAATTGAAGCTGCAGGAAGTAGGTTAATGGAACAATATTTACTCTATATACTACCTCTAGGCACCTTTATTTTTCCTACTAGAACAAAGGGACTACATGTCACTAACAAGAAAATAACACTTTCTCTTTTGTACCTTGTGATGGTGGGAACAGCCATCCCAGATTTTAATGATATAGTATTACAGTAGTTTTAATTATGAACACTGAAATACATAATAATAATAAAGCACCACATTTGTTATGTAAAGTTCTAACTACTTTCATTTGAAAGCGTTTTCATCTTGACTGGGAAAACATTTGTGGCCTTTGAGAAATGTTCTGAACCCAAATTTCATGCACATGGTTTGACACATGGACTGACAATCCATTGATACATTAGAACTATCCTGAAAAACCAAGTTAATTGGCTTGCCACACAAGTATTCTTACAGTTAAAGGACATGTAATCATGTATTAAAAGGAAAAAGATTTAAATATTGCATATTTAAATCCTGCCAAGAAATCATATATTTCTTTTCTTAATTTTCTCACCACTTCCCCCTCAATTTCTGTGCTACAAAGTGATAGGAGTAAAAAGTTTTCACAACTTCCATTTATATACAAAAGAAGTCACAAAGAATCCAGTAGTAGATCTAGAATGCTTCTTCTGACCCTGCAGAGTTGCTTTTTATTTTTGGAATTATTCTCTCAGTATTTTAATGTAAGATGTTTGTGGTATCCACAAAATTATTATAATACCTTAAAGCATTTTTCAAAATTATAACATAAATTTTCTCTTATTCTTGCTTGACTCTCAACAAAGGGTCTTACACTTTTACTAAAGCTTTGCTAAAACATAATCTTGCTTTAGTGGGATTGTGACTTATAGGTGATTAATTTTGCAACCTTTCTTCATAGAGACAATTCATGCTTTAAGTTTAAAAAACAAGTACATACTGCAACAAAGAGATCTGCCTTAACCTTTAAATTATTTTGAGGTGGTTCATGGCTCCACCTGCTGAAATTAATGGGAAAATTTAGTTTTATAGCTATTTAATAATATAAATGAAAAAATTACATATGGTTTTACAATCAGCCTTAGGTATGAGGTAAAAGGATCCTCTTTAGGTCTGGTTTTTGAGCATTACTTCACTCTGATTTTCTTTCTTCAAGAAAGGCTCAAATGGAATGCTGGAGCCAAGTTAAGTGAACTTCACATTTTCTCGGGCAACTTTGGGGACAGTATCTCTTTATAGCATTTTGCACTTTTGTGAAATGCTATTCCTGTTTTACTTGGTGAGCTACATCTTAGGCAAGGCATCTGTGGTAGGAGTAGTGGATATGGAAAAGTTAGTTGAAAAGTCACTGACGCTCAAGTTACATATTTATGTATAATTTTTTTATGATAACCTGTATATGGTAAATATTAAATAATATGATTAAGCAGATATTTATGTAAGTTGTAAAACCCTCCAGGAACAGATTCTGTCTTTTGAGCACTATTCTTCCTTTCCAATGCTTGTCAAATAATATAAGTACTAAAAAAAAAGATGGCTGTGGTGGTTAATGCCTGTAATCTTAGCACTCTGGAAGGCTGAAGCAGGAGGATCACAAGTTTGAGTTCAGCCCAGGCAACTTAGTGACTTAATGAGAGTATATCTCAAAGATTAAAAAAAGCAAAAATGTTGGGGATGCAGATCAGTGCAAAGGTTCTAGATTATATCCCCAGTAGTGAGAAAATAAAAAGAAAGCGTTGAGGTTGTACTTCAGGATGAATATCCCTGGTTCAGTCCTCAGTACCACAAAGAAAAAAAAAAGTACTAAAAAAGAGTTGACTGTTTGAATTAATGATTGTGCATGTAGAATACCAAATTCTAAAGATCAAAGATGCCTGCCATATTACTGATGTAAGATAAGGATATGATAAAATGATTTATACAATCCTAATGTTCTCATTTCATATACAACAGCTACACTGGAGTCCATTACTTTTCAGATACTGAAATGTGTACTGAATTTTACATATCCCTCAAATTCTGTATCATATGCCTTCCATATTCCAACCCACGTTGGTAAGTATTCTTTTTAGGTGATAATAGATACAGGCTAAATTTCTATAACATATACTCCCTGACTGAGAACAGAAAAACAGCAGCAAGTGGTGATGGGCATTGTAACTAATTCCTATTTTATTTTAGAGTTTTAGTCTATTTTAGTTTATTTTCATTTCATTTCATTTTAGAATACAGGGAACACAAGTAATTTCCTATCCATATACAGACTGGTACGATGAGCCACATGGCATAGCTTCACCTAAAATTAATTTTGTCTTACATTGTTCACATTTCTCCATCTTCTAATATATTGAAAACAATGTGACATTTACAAAATCAGGTCTCTTTTTCTTTTCCCAGTGAAGAAAAACACTTTCATTTTTGACATATTTCAGACAACATGGATAACAAGTTTACAAAAATAGCAAATGGCCATTGTGGTTGGTTTTCTAACTCAAATGTAATCAAGAGGCAAGGCTGTCTTTAGAGCCTGCAACTGTTTTTCGGAAAACACAGTTTTTAAAGATATCTTTTTACTGAATGCTAAATGTGTTTATTTGGACACAAACGCACGTGCCTTTGGAGGACTGCTATGGAGGGAGGAGAAGTACATGTTGCCCTTGGCCCCTAACAAGCACCGTCACTCTCTGCAGCTTCTTAGTGTGGTCCCTGTGGACGACCAGATGTAGAGGAACTTTGATTTAAAAAAGAAAAAAGTCTGAGAAAAAAAGCAGCTGAAAGAAAACAATAAGGTTCGCGTGCCAAGTAAATGTGGCTTTAACAAAAGTCATCAAATTATATACACATCATTTTCTCTGTTGTGAAGAACTGTACCTAGACCAGACAAAACAGTACAGAATCCATGTGTTCAAATCAATACACTATGTCTTTCTCTCCTTCCTCCTGTTTGTGTTACCACATTCTATACAATACGAGGGGGTTGAAGTCTCATCCTTCAGCCTACATCATCGAAGATTTCTTTTGTAAACGTGTGCACGAGTTTGTGCTTCTTGTGTGGTATTTACTGGGAGTGCTCCCCTCCTCCCAACTTCTCCCAATTCAAGTTGAGCCTATGGTCGCCACAATCACTGGGATGCACTGTGTCATATCAGCAGGATGTGTTTTTCTTGATGTTGTTAATTATTGGGGGTGTCATATTTGCACCATTTGTCTAGGCTAGTTCCGTCTGACGGGACTGATGCCCCCTATGAATCATGAGCTGAATGTATAAAAATTTCAGCATTGCACTTGTTGTCCTTTGGATGGGTAGTACACGCGGGGAAAGTAGAGTGAGAGGAAAACAAAGAGTCGATCAGCTCCTAGGTCTGGAATTGACTGTTATAAATGATTAAAAAAAAATGGTGACTCTGCTCAGAAGACATGGGTGTAGAAAAGCTTGGAATGCAAATGCTCAAAATTTCTCTTAAATCATAAAAATGGAAGTAAACATTTATTACCATTTGGTCAAGTGTAGCATAACTTGCATTCATATTTCATTGTTAGTAATGGAGGTATGTGGAAATATACACAGACCTTGAGACAGTTTTTTTTTAAATATTGCATACAGGCTAGCAGTTCATTGAAAACAGAGGAGAGAAGCCTGAAGGTTAGATCTTAGAAGAAGGCAGTTCTTCATGCACAGCTTTGTCAATCCTGATTTGGTAAAATAAAAATCATGAAATACCAAAATCAAAGGAGAATTGATTAAGGAAATGGGAAAGGGGTCATCCCAGAAAGGGTGATGTCACTGGCCAGGAAAATGTCAAGGTGCGGTTCTGTTTCCTCACTCAAGTCCAAAGGTGCTGGTTTCTTCTACTGCTGTCAACAGCTTTTCATACAACATCGAGTAAGAGGGATATGGTGGGAGATCCAATCGGTTGAAGCATGTGTGTGCCCTGAATCGGGGAGAAAAGATTGGTGAGAGTATTTCAGGGATATAACTGGCTCTGGATGTATTTGTGACTACAAAGGGAAAACAGAAGTGAAGAGGGCCATGATTTCAGACAGTTATAAAACGCTGCAAACTACAAACCACGATAGACTAGTTGAGGAATTGGAACAACTAGAATGGGTGGGTTGGATTTGTAAGTAAGCTATACTCTCGAACCAATGATCAATTCTATGGTACCAGCTGGCTTTTGCAATTGAGATATAAACTTAGATGCAGTCAGTGAAGGAGGGAGAAAAGTAATTACTATTGAAGGATCAGATTCTCAACTCTCTTTGCCTACCTCTGATTTCTGGGCCATTGTAAACTGAATGTAGTACTTAGAGGAATCCACAGTACTCTGGAATTCAGAGATCTCAATTCTGCATTGAAGTCAAGTATGCACTGGAGACAAGTCTGACTCCTCTACCCCAACAGGATACCCAGCGCCTGAAGTTGAAGTGCTGCATTTCCAAGAAAAGCTGAGCTTGTGGTGACACAGCCCTCCCTCAAGGCCAAGGTATCCTCACACCACTGCTCCAGGTTCTGTCTCACCTGTCCTGTGCTTCACCCTGCAGGCCCATGCTTGCCAGAGTCGGCCCTAGGCCATCAATGCCTTCCCTGCAAAGCTGCTAACACAGGGACCAGGAACCCGCCCTGGGATCTCCAGCAGTGAGAACAGAAGTGCAGCACACAGAGTCCTGTGGCACCACAATCACCTGACTAGCTACTTGCTGTCAAGAGTTCTTTGTTTCTGTAAACTTTTACTGCTATTGGGTCCTGTATCAAAGTAGGGAGAAAGAAGAATGGGTTCAGGGAAAAGTTAATTTTATGCCTTTTCCTCCCTATGAGGCATGTGTTGAAATGGTGTTTGGAGACACCAGCCAGCACGGAAAGGACACTCAAAATAAAATAAAGCAAAAACTAATATATGCACAAACAAAACTAAATCCCCTAGAGTGGATTTTATTTGGGACATTAAACTCCTTTAATTATAGTATCCCTCTGGGAATTATCTATTTATACTTTTGTTTTAAATTCCATAATTAGTGTACCTGTACCAGATCCCTGTGAAGGCAGATGCAATGACATTCAAGGTACAGGGGGGATATTTGGGGGATAAGGAGTGAGGGAACTGGGGAGAGGGGAGGTGCATTTTCCTTCACAAGGAGAATCTGAGGAAGATGCCAGTGTTTCCCTTTGCATTTTCCCAGGACCCACTTCTCCTGGGAACAGCTTGGTCCTTGTCCTTGGGGAACTGTCCCTCATGCCCACTCCCTCCCTTCCTCTCCTCTTCCCCACCCCCTCAAATGATAGCAACTAGCAGAGATCTTCAGTTATCACCTGAGATTCATCCTGACCTATGTTCACTTCAAAAGAAAACCACTGAACTATTTTACCTAAACCAGAGTATTTGAGTGAAAGTGAAAAGAAAGTCAGTAAATCAAGTAGGACAATGATGGCAGTCTTCTCTATGTTTAGAAAGGGTGAAACTAGAACGTGCACTGGGCTGTGGCTCACGAAGTTAAGTGGAGCAGAAAGGTCCCAAGTGTGTTCTGGAACTCGGTGAATTAGCCAGGGGTGAATTATGATTGGGTACTGTCTTGCATTTTCCCCCTCTGTTCATTTTAATGGCACTTGAGAGCAGAAATATTATAGGGAAAACCCCCTCATATTTACAAATTAGTTGGAGCCAGATTAATTCTATGAGAGACAATTCTGTGGAGTAAATGGGAAGTATGAACAAATAACAGTTAAAACGCCAGCAATTTATTTACTGGCTGCCTTTATTGTATTTGTCAATGGCCTAGGTTAATCCCCCAGCTGAGTTCTAGTTTGTCATCTAGAATGAATGCAATCAAATCTCACTTGGGCTTTGCATTCCTACATGCTCACTGCCCTCCTGGTGTGGCACTCACAGAAACAGTGCTTGTTGACCTGATTCCCTGTGCTCAGGACCAAGGGACCAAGCACTAACAGGCAGGTGTGGGCCAGGGAAGCAAGCAGGGAACAATGGGCTGGGCCTCTCTTTTCGTCCCAGTCTAGCCATTGGCCGGCTTTATAACCTTGGGAAAGTCCATTAATCTTTCTGAGCCTCAGTTTTCTCACTTGTAAAATGGGGCTAAATGCACCTGAAAGAGTTATTGGCAGCTCATTGATAGAATGCACACAAATGTCTTTGATAACCTGTGAATCATCATTTAAACATAAGACTCCATAATAACACAGTAAAGGCTGGGGTAATGGTTTTAGGAACTGTGTCATACTTGTGACTTAAGATCCTGGGCTTTTCCACATGACCTACTGACAAATGAATCAGCTTCACATCCTAACTGATATTTCGAAACTCCGCAAGGATCTTTCCAATGCTGCCATGTCAAATCCCACTATGTTGATGAGGTCAGCCCAGGGCTCGGGAAACTATGGGATAATTCTGGATTACACTGTGTCACTTGGTGCACTGTTTACCCCTCTGAGCTGTGTCACCTGCTCAGCTGATCTCTCTGGCTCTTTGAGTTGTTCTAAGTTATTGATTGAAATGTTAACCAATACAGTGTCAAAGAAAGTCTTGAACTGTCCACTAGAGACTACTTAAAGGCATCAAGAAACAACAGAGGCAGCCCTGATGAGTGCTTGTTGTTTACTTAGTCATGAGGCCAGTTGAGAAAGTTGTTTAATCCCTTTGTGCATCTTTTTCCATTCCTGAACTATAGGCTCGTTCATTCAGATGGTTTCACACTCATTCCTGCTAAACTCATTCTTTTTCAAGCTCATCAATAATTCTATCCAGAAATCCAGAAGCCCATGCTCTAGCCCCACTTGCTCAAGCTCCTTAAATAACCAAGCCTCAAAGAAATAAACCTTTTCTCTTTTTAAGGTCATATTTCCCAAGTGTTTGCTACAGTAACAGAAGCTGAATAACGTAAGTGGTCACATGGAAATAGGTCTGCAGCAAATGTAAATCTTCTTTTCTAATTAGAAAGTACCAGAAGAAGAAACAGGGGTCAATGTTATCTTGTTTGTCAAAGCAGTATTTATCAGATGAGATCGGGCGTGTTCACGATGGCTGTGGACTCGAAGCAATATTTACTAACATACTATTTTTATAGAAGCATCTCTTGGTGTTCTTTGTTTCATGATCAGGAATATATTACTGAGAGTGTCACAGAAAAGATTCATGGAAAAGAGAAATTATTGTGTAAAACTGCTTGGACCTCCACTGGCTCCTTTCTTGAATTTGTCCCATCATTCTTGTTTCATAATGTTCTACATAGAAGTCACTGAAGAGCTCCAGGGATACACGCGGTCTCATCCTCAAATGTTTTAAAACTAAGTGGGAAAAATATGACACACATACATGAACATAAAACTACCCTATCAAGTGACAGGTTACAGAAGTGCAGCGTGGTGCGAGAAGGGTTACTTTGGGCCTCCAGCATCCTTATACTAATGCCTTTACTTCCCCCCTCCATGTTAGATGGTCCTCTTTACCTGAAGTTGGATTTTACATGTACTCAAAGCTTCTCATGACTGACATACAGACCAACACATTGCAGCCCAAATACCGTCAATCATCTAAACCAAGACTATAGTCTCAGTCCAAGTCTCAGGGATATTTCACCTATACCTTCCACTATTAATCCACATAATAATGCTCTGGATGACAAGCAAGACTTATCTCAAAGGATGATCACTCGACCTTTAATAGCAAAGATAAAATTTGCCGTCTTCAGTGAGTTTTCTGAAGGAGCTCTGTACCTGGGGAGAGATGTGATTTTCCCCCATTTCTCAATGCAGAAACGCCGAAGGCCGTTGCTTCCTCGAAGGGCTGCGAAGCCTTCATAGGGCACGCTCGATGTTCCCGTGACAAACTGCAGCAATCTCAGTCTCTGCTCATTATTGAAGCGCTCCACTGCGGCCCAGAACCAGCGGATCACGAGATGCCCATCATGATAGCCTGATCGAAACAAAGAGAGGGAGAGGGGATGTGGAGGAGCAAGGGGCAGAGGAGAGGGAATGGAACATAGGTAAGGTGTATTAACTGAAAAATGGCTGGGGATCTGCTGATTGTGATTTTTTGCCTCTCTCTCTCCTTCCTCTTCCTTCCTTTTTTGTGGTACTGGGCTTTCCTGATAAGCTACATCCCTGGCCTTTTTAAAATTTAAAAATATTGAGACAGGGTCTCACTGAGTCCTTAAGTTGCCCACACCTGGCTCGTACTGGAGCTTTCTGCCTTAGCCTCCCACAGTGCTAGAATTACAGACTTGAAGCTGATTTTTCTAATAATGGCCTTTAGATAAGTTAGATCTAAAACAATCTGTGTAGCTAGGTCAAGTTTTAAAACAAAAGCAGATTTAGAAAATAGTTATTTTATAAAAAGACCTTATATTCTGGAGATGTCCTCAGAGATATTTCCTATTTAAACAATTGGATCACCACTTTAAATATCCCTGCCTTATATAAATGTCAGTAAGGAACAGAAAGGCTTGGTAGAGACAGACCTTCTGTGGATACAGGATTTCATCTTATTTCCTTGTTCTGATGTTTTAGCTTCTGGCAACGCCACACCTCAGGAACATTGAGAGAGGCTGGAGGGTGGGCAGCAGCAAGTCTGGTTGAAGATGCTGGGCTGCTGGCAGCCATTAATGCTGCCAGGAGAAGCCCTGTGCCATTAAGCAGTGGTTTCTGGGGCGCTGGTGGGACCCATGGTAGAAGTACTGGCCCCTCTCCTAGTGGGCTGGAAAGGCCAAGCTTGGATTGATTAATTCAGATAAACGCCACAGCACAAATGCAAAAGGCATTCAGAAATGAGCGAAATCTGCGGGCCTGAGGCAGAAACAGAGAAAGTTTCATAAAAGACCCAGGGTATGCGTTCAGGATGGGAAGGACTGGGTAAGTGCAGAAAAGGGTAACAAACAATAAGGATGGCAAAGGAACAAACAATAAGGGTGAAAAAAACACGCAGGGAACATTCAGCTGACCAGCACAGAGGCCTTGATAGCTCCTCAGAGACATTCTGACTGACACTGCAGACCAGCAGTTTCCACAACAGGCCAACCTAGAAGTTCTAGAGGGTTCTGGTTGCAGAATATAGTGGGGAGTGAGGGAGCTAATGGCACCCCTAGGTCCCTCTCTCTCCGATCCATTAATTGGGCAATATTTTACATGAAGGAAGGATTATGAGACTTAAAAAAAAAACTTTTACAAAGGTCTATAAGGAGCAAGTTTTATGTGTAGGAAAGTGGCCTAATGAAAATGGTATTTCAGGCCAGGCATGGTGGTACACGCTTGTAACCTAACACTCTGGGAGGCTGAGGCAGGAGGATAGTAAGTTTGAGCCCAGCCTGGACAACTTAGCAACTCAGAGAGACCCTGTGTGAAAAATAAAACACTGAAAAAAGGGGCTTGGCGAGGTAGCTCAGTGTGAAGTTCCTGGGCTTCATCCGTAGGGCCACAAAACCATAACAAGTTTCAGATATGCTACTTTGGCAGCATGCAGGGTGAATAGGTGGTGGGGTGGGGTGGGTGGAGAGAGACCACAGTTAGAGGTGCAGAGGGCCTGATATGCTTTGTGTCTAGATGTCCCTCCAAGGCCTCATGTGGTCATAGAGCTTTTTCAGAGGTGGCTGAATCTAGAGTGTGCGATGCTGAAATTAATGTTGTGTGATTACTAAATCAGTCCACTGATTGCTCTGGCACCGTCCTAATCCCAGTAATCCAGATAAAATAAAAGGGGCAGAAGTAGCTGTTAAGGTTCCTTGTGGGCACCGTGAATTGTTTCTCCTTGGCAAGGCCTGTCTGCCATGCCACCCTGACTTGGAGCTGGCCGATTATGGACTAAAACCTTTATAAACTGTAAGCCAAATAAACCTTTCCCCCCTTCAACTTTGGGTGTCAGATATGTTGTCCCAGCAATGAGAGAAAAGTAAATAAGATAGGGCCTTAATTACAGGAAGCAAGAGATGCTTTCTGGAAAGTCCGCACTCCACTCGTATCCTGTGTAAGCTTTTACTCAGGGTTTGGCCAGGGATTATTGCCCCTGGAAGGAGTGTTCAGGTTGGAAGCTGGGTAAGCACCTGCTTTGTGCTGAAGTAAGGTCATGCTTTTTATAGTCTTTAGAAAATGATGAATTGGGCTGGGGATGTAGCTCAAAGTAGAGCACTAGCTTAGTATACGAAAGGCCCTGGAGTCAATCCCCAGCAGAGCAAACCACACCAGCAACAAAAGTGAATTATGTGTACATACGATGGACTATTACTCAGTCTTAAAAAAGAATGAAGAATGGAAACATGGACAAAATGGACAGATCTCTAGATAGTATTCTAAGTCAAAGAAGATAGACATAAAAAGACTTGTAGATTCTGTTTCTAACACGTATCGGCTGTAGGAAAACCTACAGAAACAGAATGCGGATAGATGGTTGAAGACTCAGAGAGAGAGAGGAGAGCAGGAGGTGGGAAACACCCAAGTACTGGGTACAAGGTTTCCTTCTGGGGTGATGAAAGTACTCTGGAGCTAGCTAGAAGTTATCTGGCTGGAGAACACTGTGAATGTACTAAATGCCGTTGAACTGTTCACTTTAAAATGGTCACTTTTAGGCTATGTCAGTTTCACCCCAACACAATTTTGGTTTAAAAAGTGACCAACTCTGTGGCAGGATCATCACATCCAGGGCTCGCTCACCTCCCCGGTACTCGGTGTTATTCCGCCAGTCGTTCAGGTCAATCTCTGCAGTACCCGCGATCACCAGCTCCAGCTCCCTGGCATCGAACACGGAGACCAGCCTTGAGTCTACAACCTGAGACACAGATTGGCTTCAGCATAGAGGTCCACATGCCACGAGAGGTTATGGTCACCATGATTATCATGTGGATTAAACTGGGGCCCTGACATCATTTGCTGTTTCTTGCTCTCTCTTTTGTTAACATGCAAATATGCTTATGTTCAAAATCATTGTAATGATCTGAATGGTTACCTCCCCCCGATTCGTGTGTTGAAATCTTTACCTCCAAGGTGATGGCCTTAGGAGGTGAGGCCTCTGGTGTCAATGAGTGCAGCCCTCATGTATGGGGTTCACGCCCTTTATCAAAGAGTTTCCAGAATGACCCCTTTCCCCTCCACTGAGTGAGGATGTGGCAAGAGACTGCCATCTGTGAACCAAAAGACTAAATCTGTTAACGCCTCTTCATCTTGGACTTCCCAGACTTCACAAACTGTGAAAAATAGACTTCTGGTGTTTATGTGTGGTATTTTGGTAACCCAGATGGATGAAGGCAGTCACTGAGGTAAACATATTGGCCCATAACCCTTCATGGGCTGGCAACAGCAAACAGGTCCTAGGGTCTGCACCACCTTAGACACGCACCCTGGGAGAAAGGTCACAGACAAACCTGACTTGACTTTCTGAAGTCACATTGAAATTTCCAAAAAACACTGCATTGTAAAGGCAAAAAATTCAGATCATTCTGAAGCGACTTAGTAGCTATTACTATTTCACTTAAAGTGTATTTTTGTCGCATAAATTATGACTTGTTTGTTAGGACCAGGCATTACATATTAAAATGACTGCATTTCCTGCTGCTCTCTCCTCACTTCCTTCCTCCCTCTTTTAAATATCTGGAAGGACCTGCTTGTTCTCTGGGGCTCTGTGCTCTTGGCTTTACAGCTTGTGCCAAATGTGCCAGGCTCAAGTGGCCGTCTACAACGGCACCTTGATTAAACCAGAGGTGGACGGCACAGTGGCTGATGCTCTTCTCTTTTCCTGGCAGGGAAAGAGAACCTCTTACAACCTGAGATCCAAGAAAGCATTTAGTGTCTTATTTCCGAACTGGAGAAGTTCAAGGGCATCATTTTTGTACACAGGGAGCCTAGAAGCTGTCACTGTCTTCTCTGTTTACCAATTGGCACAAAACGGTATTATAACAAAGTGAAAATCTAGCAAGAGTGCACAGTGCCCCCAAATGCTCGCAGTGCGTTCACAAGACACACTGAAGGTTCCCACATCTGGCACAGCACGGCAGCATAGGGAGTTTCTGAGAGCATTTTCATCGCTGACAAGAGCTGGGTTTCTCAGAGCACTGTGGACCTTCCTACTCTGGAGCACAGCTTGGTCTTTTGCCTGCCTCGCTGCTTCTTCTCCACTCTTCTCACTGAGCTGCTGTCCCCCAAGGACGCTTGAGGAGCAGGGACCCTGACAGTCTTCCCAGGCCTCACCTCGTAGAAGCCCCGCACCAGTGCTTCGGTCTGCTGCACCACGCCTCTCTCCACCCGCCACTTCACCATCCTCTCAATGTATTCCTTCTTGTTCTTCTCCGTCACCTGGGTGTTGGCTCCGCCAGACTTCAATTCCCTTTCCGTTACCTGTGGGGAAACAGGAAGGCCATGATGCTTATCCAGGCAGCTCATCTCCTGGGCAGACATTTTGATTCTGGGAGGCTATCATGGCATCTCAGAAGACTTGCAGATTTTGTTCCTCTTCCCTCCCCCTCCCCTCTCTCCCCCACCTCCCTCTCTCTTTTCTTTCTGTTCTTTTTTGTAGCACTGGAGATTGAACCAGGGCCTTTGCTCTGGGCTATACATTGAACCCTTTTCAGTTTGTTTTTTTTTTGAGACAGGTTCTTCCTAAGTTTCTAAGTTGCCCAGGCTGGGTTTGAACTTGTGATCCTCCTGCCTCAGCTTCCCACAGTGCTGAATTTATAGGAATATACCACAATGCCTGGCTTGGTATTAACATCATGATTTTTTAATTTTCTTTTTGGTGCACTTTGCCATGCAGAAGTAAAAAAATAACTTTATCTGTGTCAATCTTTAATGGCTGTGAATTTCTGTACTGTATCTATAGCAGTATTCCTTGCTGCAATGCTACAAATAAAAATTCTTCTTCCTTCCTTTTTCTTTCTTTCCTTTCCTTCTTTAATTCAGTATATATATTTTATATACTTTAATTCATGTATATATGAACTGAGAGTGAGGACTTGAACACATATTTGCCCATTCACGGTCACAGCAGCAGCATTATTCACAATACCCCCAAAGTGGAAGAAATTGAGGTGCCCATCAACAGATGAATGGATGAATAAAAATGACGCCTACAAAAGGAATATCGTGGAGCCTTAAAACGCAAGAAAACTCTGACACGTGCTCCCACACGGACGGACCCTGCAGACATTATGCTAAGGGAAATAAGTCAGTCCCAAAAGACCAATGTTGCATGTTTCCACCTCTACGCAGTATGCAGAGCAGTCAGGTTCACAGAAACAGAAGTCGAATGGAGTTGGCAGGAGCAGGGCAGTGAGAGAAATGGAGACTTGTTTAATGGGTACAGTTTCAGTTTTGCAAGACAAAAAGGTTCTGGAGATTGGATGCTCCACGGTGAGAACGTACTTAATAATATCAAGCCGTACACTTAAAATGGTTAAGATGGCAAATTCTGTCCAAAGTTTTCACCGCCCTAAGACACAAAATCCCTTTCCCATGCCTGCATCCTACAAACCTGTCCAAAGACCTCTTCATTAACAGTGAAAGTGAGGTCAAGGATATCTGTGATGTTGTTGTCCTTCATCCACTGCAAGCTCTGGTGGAATTCCTCATCCAGATATTCCAGGTCACTCAAGTCGCAGGGCCTGCGTGGATCCCAAGGGTGTAAGATGGACAGAATCAGGGACCAAACTGCTGCCCAAACCCCACTGCAAAGTGTGGTTATGCCACTTCTGGCTAAAACACTACAGACTTGTTCTAACAATTTCGTAATTTTGAATATACTTCTAAATCAGTATACTTGACAATTTTGGTTCGTTCAATAGTTCTCCTTTGAAAACAAGCTACTAAAATAGTTACAATAATAAAATAATTATAAATAATTACCGACTCATGGAGTCTCATAAAAGCAACTGTGGTGTGATCAAAAAGTACAGCGAATGTTTAAATTTTAAAAAATTATTACAGTAAAAGATATTACTATTAATTGCCCTCAAAGTACTCTCCCTCTCTTCTGGCATACATATCCCATCTTTCTTCTCACTGTCTGAAGCAGCTCTGCAAGTCCTCTTTCCTGAGTGTCTTTAGTCGTGCTGCCACAGCTGCCCTGGTGTCCTGAACTGATTCAAAATATTTACTTTTCATGGTCATTCTGACTCTGGAGAAGATCGAGAAGTCACACAGTACCATCCAAGGTGAACGAGGACACATTGCAATGGTTTTCATGGGCCTGCCTTTCTGTGGGATGGAACTTAGCGAGAGCACTCAGTCTTTGATCCCACTTTGTACAGACACTTAGCAAAGAGCACTTCCAGAACTGCTTCAGAAAGTGGCCAGAATAATGGGATGAGTGTGAGAGAAGTGAGGGGCAGATTCTGAAGGGGATAAACGGTAATGTGTCTTTTACTATAATGAATTTGTTTAAAAACCTGAACATTTGCTGTGCTTTTCTAGCACATTTTGTAAGGTATGAACACATCAGTTCTGCTTAATAGTTTAAGGCAATGTTTATAATATTATAATTTTTATACAAACCGATTTATGTTCATTATATGGTGTTTTGCTAAGAGAGTCTTATGTTTACAAAAATGCCCCAAATGCATTTAATTACACTAAAAAGTGTATGTGACGTGCAAAACATTCAGAACAGGAAACCTAGCAGGAACCTAACAGGAATGACTGGAGCAAAACAAAGGGCCCAAGGCACCAGCAAGACCAGTGCTGCTGTCCTGCAGAAGGACTGTGTACTCACTGTCTGCCGTATACTTACAGCCTCAGGAGCGCCTTGTAGAAGGGCCTCGTGAAGAAGGCGTCCAGAAGGTACTGATGGATTAGGGCCAGGCCCAGGATACGACCACTAAACCTAAACCTGGAACATAGACAAGGCAGAGAAATCTGAGGATCAGTGGGAGTTACACCATTCAATATTTTAATTTGTAGTTTTATTTCATGTATCTCTGTCTAGCATTCAGCTTAAATTGGTGTGGGGATTTTCACACGGAAGTTGCAATGGCTGCAGCTAATCCAGCCATTTCCTTTCCTTCTTGTTCTCTACCATAAACGATGCCACGTGCTTGACATGTATTTAAGGAAACCTCCTCTTCCAGCATACCAGGATAGTCATTTCTTTTTCCGGAAACTTCTCAGTTCTGGGATGATTAGGATCCAAGAAGAAGGGAGCACCAGGGAAAGAGAATGCAGGAATCTGAGCTAAACCCCTAGGGGGACCTGAACCCGTGGACACAGAAAGTTTTCTGGACAGAAAGAACGTCCTTACCTATTCAAGCATTCTTTATTTAATCTCCTGAATGTCCGTGCTGCAAGGTGGTGGATTTAAGTGTGAATTATGTCTGGTAGCTGTGTTCCCACAGTGGGAAGAGTTATATGCAATGGAGATGGGATAGGAGGTATGCTAACTGAGCATCGAGGATTGTACTGTCTGCCATATTCAAAGAAAGAATAAGGCCCCTGCTGGGAAGAACTGGTCACGCACAGTTGGCCACCTCCAGAGGCGAGGGCCCTTACTGGTTTAAATGCTTGTTGGGGTAACTGCTTCCTGGAATTTCTGCTGATGGGATGCTGAGGCTACCTGGAGATTGATCACGGTACGGCGTGCTCCTAAACCAGCTTCCAATCTGCCTGGTATAGCAGTCTACAGCTTCCTTCCATGAGAGCCTAGCCCACCTCTGTACCTAGCTCCATAACTGGGTCCCCTGGTCTCCTACCCAAACAGCTTTTCATCTAATCACAGATTTAGTTGTGACTTTTCTCACATCAGCCCAGTTGGAATTTCCAATTAACTCATGTCTTATTGCCTTCCATGAAGCTCTTTTTCAAGATTCTCTATTCTATACAAGGTATAATAAAAAAAATATATATATATATGGTGAATGTTTACATTTAAAAAAATTAAAGTGAAAGACACAGTGCCAAAACCCCCCTCACAATACTCCCCTCTCTTCTTATCCCATGTTATTGCCACTTTCTAAAGCAGTTCTGGAGGTCGTCTCTCCTGACTGTCTTCATGAGGCATAAGAAAAAATACAAATAGCCGGGTGTGGTGGTGCCCGCCTGTAATCGCAGTGCTTAGGAGGCTGAGGCAGAAGGACTGCAGTGAGTTTGAGACAAGACTGGGTTACACAGTGAGTTCAAGACCGACCATCTACACACAGCAAGACCCTGACTCACCACCAACAAAACAACAACAAATGCTGTTGTCCGGTGCCATCCAATGGAAAGGCAGGCTTGTAAAAGCATTACAATGTGTCCTTGGTACTGGTGATATCTACTTGTCCCTCTGAAAAATCATGTGCTCATAGCTGGGGCCATTGGAAGGTTACTGGATTATGGTGGCCTATAGCTGACTTGCTTTTGGAAGGTGGGGTGTGGTTGAAGGAGCTGGGTCACTGGAGGCATGGCCTGGAAGGGTTTTTCTCTCTCCCCAGATTCTCCCTTCTCTCTGCTTCTGTCTGACATGCTGTGAGGTGTTTTCTGCCCTCTACCTCTGCCATGCCACCCTGCCTTGGAACCACCAGACTATTGACTGAAACCTCTGTAAACTGTGAGCTAAAATAAACCTTTCCTCCTTTACTTGGTTGGTGTCAAGTACTGTGTCCCAGGGATGAGGAAAGTAATTGACAGTCCTCATCCGCCTTCTTCACTGATCTGGCACCGTGCAACCTCTGGCTCTTCCCCAAAGTCAAAATGACCATGCAACATGAATGTTTGCAATCAGTTCAGGACACTGAAGCAGCCATAGTCTGGGGAAAGTTAGCAAGAAAGAAAATTACATTAAATCCCCTCTTACTAATATTCCAGGCACAAACTTTCACAGATATGAATGGATCCCCCACTATGAACATTCACAGATGCAAATATATCACACAAGTAGCTCTCACGTGTCTGCTAGACACTGTCACAGTTGTGATGCTGTGTGCTTACTGTACACTGTGGTAGTGTACTGTAGTATAGTACAGTCGGGGACTTAACTGAGTTTTTGTGTGTTTGATTTTTTTTAATGCTTTACACTGTATAATTTGTGTCAAAAGTATATAAGACTCACTTCGTTGGACATAGGAATGAATCTGACTCACTAATATTCTCCTGGAATGAAACCCGTTCAGAAGTAGGGGACTTACTATAAAGAGATCTCACTTGAATATACGAAATCCTAAATAAAACACAACAGAACTGAACTTAATGCTTTAGCCTCAGAAAAATGTAAAATGAGCAAGTATGTTTAATTTTTAGGAAACAAAAGATAAATATTAAGAATTTTATTATTAAAACTAATCACAAGGTCAAAAGACAGAGTCATGTGGCTTTTTTTTTTGTTGTTAAAGGTGAAAAGATACTTGATAAAACCCATTACCAATTTCTAGAGAAAGACATCTTTGTAGTAAATCAGAATAGAAGAATACTTCCTTAGCATATTAAGCAGCATCTCTTATCACTATACAGTTGGCCCCTTGTGTCCTTCGCATCCATGGATTTAACCAAGTGTGTATTGAAAATATCCAGGAAAGGAAAAACACCTAGATTAAACATGTATACTTTTTCTTGTCACTGTTTCTTAAGAAGACAGGACGATCACTACTTACATAGTATTTATATTGAAATGATTTAAAGTATATGGGAGGATAAGTACAGGTTATATGTAACTACTATGGGATTTTTCAGTAGGGGATTTGAGCATCTGTGAGAGGGAGGCCCTGGACAAATCTCTGGATGTCAAGGGTTGAAGGTCTTTTTATAACAGCAAAAAATAGCAGAATGCTGGTTATCATCACTTTGCATAGTATTCTATCAGTTCTAGTCACTGTAGTTAATTATAAATGGGAAATTGGAAATAGATTTTAGAAATAACTTTTATTGCATAGCTACTGAGCCAAGACATGTTACTGAGAATATCTCACTGGCCCTTGCTACAAGTGGTAGCATCTATCTTAGCAATAACATGTTGGATCAATAGCCGTGCAATAAAAGTTATTTCTATTTACCCTCCTCGTTCAGTTTTTTTCTTTGGCTCCTGTTTTGTTTTTTTTGTTGTTGTTGTGTCTCTCACTGCCAATGCTTCCCATAGTTTATTTCTTGGTTCCAAGAACCCAGAAAGGCCAACATGACCCTCTCCGATCCAGGCTTGAATATCCAGACTGACTCACTGATGGTTTCCTTTCAGGTTTGATGCCCACCTTGGATCAATCACGAGTGACTTCAGAGCGAACACCACAGTTTGGGGTCTTGCTCAGTACTTGGCAGCTAGGGTCATTCTTGCTTCTTTCTCAACAAGGAGGTAGGACCAAGGGAGTACAGGAGAGGGGGACTTTCCTCACTGAAAGGCTGCCATGCAGACCACCAGTAGAGAATTGTTTATTTGCTTTGAATGGAAGAGTCCACCAGATGGCATTTCCGAAGGCAAAATTACACTGGGTTTACAGGCCGATGTGGGCAATAAGTAGACATTAGCTTTTTCTAACTGTGCAAACAAGCTATGATAATGTGGTATGGCTTCATATAAATACAGACGGAGTGGCTCTGAGCCAGCCCAGTATGCACAGTAACATATACTCCAGAATGATAAACTATGATCTGGGATATGTTTGTATGAAGCACAATGAAGCAACTGTACAATTCAAGTGGAAAAACAATAGTTTAAAAAGATTGGAAGGGAAAGTCTTTACCAATTCATGAATGGCTGGGGTGTACTTCCATGAATGAGAAAACACCTTCTAGTAATTGTGCTTTTTCTGTATTTATCTCCCTGACCTTGAACAACTGCTTGTCTGGAAAGTGATTATGTTTTTGAACTGAGGTTACAAATGCATACGAAGTGTGAGACAAAGGAAATGCCTTTCTTTAAGGCTTTGGATCTCAGAGAGTGTGTCCACATGCATAGTGAGAAGAGAGCTAAAGGAATGATTTCAGCTCAACCAAACATTTGTATTTTGATGGAAGTTAGATGGCACAAATAGAGTTCTAAGGCTTCAGTAAAATAAGGCCCTAGAGAAGCGGCAGAGGTCTCTGTCTCCCTGTGGGAGTGCAGGCAGGTCTAGAGGCCTCAGTTCCTCCGTCTTCTCTGGGGGCCCCAGAACCAGTCTCATCTGATATCACAGGCCAGCCCTGCTCCTAGGGTGTGGTTCTGCTTTCTGATTTCTGACCCGGCGTTTTTGAGGCCATGCTCGAATATAGCTCCTACCATCTTGGCCTTTGCATCCCGGCCCATGGCCTGTGTGGTGCATGTGCCACCTGTTCTAGTGGTGCCGCTGCCCATCCAGGTTGCCTGAGCTGTTCCGAGCAACCTGAACTTGTGTTTATTTTGCCACGGGGAATGGCTCCTCTGGCTTGACCTGCTCTGTTAGATGGTGGAGCTGTCTGGGCCCTGAGAGTTTCCTGAGCCTCTTTTGGAGTTTGCTCACAGTACTTCAATCCCTAACACGGCAAGGTCACAGTGGTTTTAGGGGGCAGCTATCATCCCTTGTTCACATCTCTGCCTCAGGCTTTGCTAACCACTCTGGCTTACGGTGCTATTCTTCCTCCTCTCTTGGGCTTATGTGTGGACAATTTGCAGACTTCTCCATCTGACCCACTAATATATGGTTTGTGGAAACATCCACTGGACTCTGAAATAAAATATTTTCATGTCCTTGGTTTTAGTAGGTTGCCAGGCTTTGCTTTTGGTATCATCAACCCTTTCCCCCAGCCAAAGAGAAATAACAGAATTGGGTATCTTTTAATGTAAATTTTAAAAAAGCCAAAACAAAACAAGCAATATAGCAAACAGCAAACAAAAAATAACTCAGATCTAGCAGGCGAAGCAACCTGTGTGGTGGTGAATGGACTCTGACCCTGAGTGTGGGCTGGTGAGAGCAC